TGAGTGGAGAACAGGCCTATTAGATAAGATTGAGATAGAATTATTAATATAATAATAATAATAATAATAATAATAATAATAATAACAACAATAGAAATAATAATAATAACAACAATAGAAATAATAATAATAATAGAAATAATAATAATAATTAATATAATTATTGCTTTAAAGATGCAGATGGAAGCACAGGCAAAAATAAGGATGGTGCAACTGGTGCAGCTGCACCGGGGTCTGAGACGTTGTCAGAAGCCCATGTAGGAAGGCGATGTCTTTCAGCTTAAATATTATAGCTGCATTTCACACAGTCATCAAAGGAGGCTGTTAGATTAGCGTTGATAAATCTGCAGCTTCTGATCAACAGTTGGTTTGCAGGATGGTTTTGCATGGTGAGCCTCTTCATGGAGACATATAAATTGACTGATGACATTTTATGACCTTATTCTCTGTGCGGGAGTGTTTTAAAAGCTATATTTTTCAAAGATGGAGGGAAGTGCTATACAAGTACTACATGTAAGGGTTTAACAGTATATTTAATGTCCTGGAGTAAACAAAGCCATAGACAGCAAAATTGCAGCCTTTTGCTTTTTAATGACATTAGAGGGTCACTCTTTGAAAGCATTACTGGTTTGAGGGGAGCAGTTAGGAGGCTTGCGTGTTAAATTAGATAGGTCATTAAGGGTCAGGAATCATGATTTCTCCCCAGGGCTTCACAGAGTGGGAGCCTCAACACTGAAAAAAAGGTCAATTAGTGTTTTTAGATTTAAAGTAATGTGGAAAGCAATGATTATGGGGCTATTAGTGAGGACCGGTTGAAAATGGCTATGTTCTTCTAAGAACAGTTATTGACAGGGCGTCATTGTCACTGCCATTGTGTGCGTGTGTGTCTGAGAGGACAATGCACATTTCCAGGTTGTGTAATGTTGTGACTGATAGTAGAAATGTGCTTGACCACTAGAAATCTGGAATTACTGATTGTCTGCACAGCTACTTTACACACTAGCACAAAAATGTTTTCAGTGTGTGTTGTGTATCTGTAGACACTGCCAGTTATTTTTTTCTACACAAACAAATGCCATGATCATTGATTTTCTTCTCGTCATCACCACGAGATTGCCAGGCAACCAGCGGAGACCTTGCACTAAGTTCTGGGTGGATGAATAAACTGCAGCTTCTCACGAAATAGTTATGGCTCGTCTACAGAAGAGGCGTTTCAGCTGCGTCATCCGTCTCATGCGCGTGTGATGGAACGGATTTCTATTTTAAACAGTCCAGCTGTCTAGGCCACGCAACAGATCTCTTCATGAAACCCGATGCATATTTTTACACTTCAAGTCTATTTTCTTCTGTTTTATGTGAGTAACTACAGTCACTGTGGTTTGGTCTCTGAGTGCGAGTGTGAGTGCGAGTGACCTACATGGTGCCTGAACGCATCCAATGTAGCCACGGATGGAGGACTGAAGCAGCTGCTCCTCTCTTAACATTCTTGCTTTTGGCTACACAGGCTACACAGGCTACACTTTGTTAATCCCTCTGAAATCTAATTGCAGATTAAGCTAAAGTGATACAAAATGTTAATTTGAGTAAGCTTTAAAGGTGCTGCTAGTTGTATTTTTTTTTGCAATTTTTAGCAAGCAAGCAAGCAAGCGGCTCCCTGCTGCTTCCAGTCTTTAAACTAAGCTAAACTGAGAGTGACATTGTAATTGCAAATAATTTTAATCAAGCTGACTGCTTTTAATTCTTGTGTTTCTGTCCAGTTCCGGAAGTGCCTAATCCAGCTCTTCACTGGCAAGGGGACCATCCCAGAGAGCAACTTCAACCAGACCTCAGAGCGACCAGGGATTACTGCAGAGAGTCAAACAGGAGAAATGTCAGCCATTGCGGCCCGTATCCCAGTGGGTGGCTCTACGTCGCCCAGGTCTGATGACTCTCCAACCGACTGTGGCTCGTTAGCCCAGCTGCCCATCCCAGAGAACAAAGTGTGTCCAATGTAACCTCATACCAATAGGTGTTCCCTTACTGTCCTCTGATCCCCAGAGTCCATATAACCTTCTGTAATCTAGATACAGTGTGTTTCAGAACCTGTTTGGACAGCAGCAGAACTTTAAATCTTTCCTTCATTTCTTGCGGAGATGGATGGTGCAGTGTGAAGAACAGAGAGTCAACTTTTGAAGGGTTTTCATAGTTGATGATTCTAGCACTTTTTTATATTTTACTTGCAAAAGTAATTAAGAGACACAAAACATCAAAAACAAGAAAAAGTTTTGGGCTCCAGCATGTTTCAGTAGTTTGTTCAATATTTGCTTTAACAACAGAGGGGACAAGAAGGAACTGTACAGAGAAATGCTCAGAGCTTTACCCGCTAGATGTCTTGTAAATATTTGCTTGTTGGACTCTGTTCTGCTGTTGGAGAATATCTTGGATGTTCTCTTGACCATCATTGCACACCTGCTAGTCTGTCACATTAGAGGGCACTTTATTTGACTTGATAGTGTCTGCCCTCATATCCCAATGAAAAAAGAGACTGCTAAAAGCGCAAACTTTGACATCAGTTAGTTGAGGGCTAGCCAGTGTTTTTCAAATACCACAATGCATCCAGCCTTTCATCTTGTCCTCGCCTTCTCCTTTGAAGCCCTGTGATGGCGCCTGTAGAGAAAGTTTTCCTATGCTGTTTCAGTGCTTTGCTTTGGCAGCGCATCTTTATTCATCTCCGCTCGTCCAGAGGACAGAACAGTCTTGTGAATTTGGATACTTTTACTTTAGTTTATGCCGCATAGACTAGTTTGGGTCAAAGCTTTCATCTTTAGTGAAGATGGTCAGTGGGACTCAGAGATGCCAGTCTCCTGTTGCCTCTGTTGCAGATGTTGGAGGACAATATATTTATGAAGCGCCAGCAGGGGATCAACAAACACAAAAACATGCACACAAATACAATGCATGACATACAGTGTACATACACCACACAAGGATGCACATACACATATGTGCATACACACAGACAGAATGCAGTTGCACTGCCTGTATTATGATAAGCCCTCAGTAGGCACTGTGAAGATGATACAATGCACAAAATATCCTAGCACTAGAGTGGCTTAGCTAAGCAGCCATGTACAAAAGCAATGAGCATTAGCATTATAAGCACAGGTCAATAGCAATATTAAAGCTAACTACTGTCACACAATTGAACACTTCAGTGTTAGCTACAGTAGATGTAGCAGTGAGTATTAAAATGTCTACTACTTGACTTTGTGGTGCATGTTTGTTCACTATTATTGGATATTTGTCAAAACACTGTTGTATTATCTATGCTGCACAGTGATTCATTATGTTATAAAAGTAACAGTATGGTGTCTGTTTGCAATGTGCTGAGTGTGTGTTCCAATCATGTTTCGCCAGTCTGGTAGGAGTAACATTAAGCATCGTTGAGCATCAGTGCATCTGTGCCAAATTAATTGTGATGCCTTGATATAATTAGCATAACGACATGAGACTACGGTGAAGACCACACCAGTGTTTACCTGAATGAAGAACTCATTTTTCATGAACATTATTGCTTTGTTGTTGACTATAAAATCTACACTTTTTATATAACCTTCATGGAACTTATCTACTATCTGCATTAATCAGTATTTTCTGTGTTAGCGGTTGATGCCTCAGTGTGTTGTGAAAGAGTTGCTCAGTGCTTAAATCACAGAGAACCATCACCCAACAGCTATCTGCAGCTGTGTCCTTTTTAGAGTCTTTAGCTCATAGTTGCTGTATGGTTCAATCTCACCGCTGTCCTCTAGCCCCAGTCCAGCAGCAGTTAGCTCAGCACAAATATGCTTCTATAAACCAACTATATGCTACCTGTCCAGCAGCAAATGGTGGACAAACAAAGCCAGCGACTAGCTAGCGCAGAAAGTTGCTACACTTTCTAAGACACAGATATTTATTAGCACCACTTAAGGTGATCAGAAACATGATTTCAAATGAATATTCCTCCGTGTTTCCATATGTGAGGCTGTACTTTGCAAACTCATTCACTATAACAGTGTAATAAGGTGATTGCTGTGAGGGAGAACTGGTACCAAAGTAACACAGCAATTTTATCTGCACCCATGGAAGTGTGATAGGCCTAACTGCATCAGCACTTACAGCACACAACACTTACCAGGACCACAAACGCTTGTGTGGAAGTCAAAGATTTACCTAAATAGCTGTTCAAACCAATTAAATCTACTCAAGCAGTAATATTTTTTTATAAAATGGAACATGTGAAAAGTTGTTTCATGTGTCAATTTCTGTCTTCAATTTAGAAGAGTCAGGTTTAACTGTCAGGAGTCAACAGACGTTTCTTTCATCCGTCTACAATAACAAAAAGCGTTTGTACAATGCACTGTATCTGTCACAACTGTGACAATGAATAAGAGAATTTATGTTAGTAATACAATAAATAAAAAAAGAGATTATTCTACATTTGAATAAAAACAGCATCTGGTATTGATAGAACACACATATGAGTCGTTGATCACAAGGTAATGCTATCTTTCAAAATTACATTTAGTCTTACTTTCATCCCAGTTCTCCCCTATCTGCCAGCTTATTCTGGCAATTATTTGCCCCCACTTTAGGTGGTGTTCAATATTAAGCTTTCATTTGCCTCCAGGTCCTATTTTGTGGCATAAGGCAATCCAGATGTTTTGCTTAGTCAACTCAGAGGAACATAATGCAAAATATGGTTTAGTTACCAGTAGAAATGTTCAAGCCATAACTCAGGTCTGTCAGAATTTGCTTTGCAAAAGTATAAGCACTAGTCTCTTTGTCCTTAACTGCTAATTTTCAGTATACGTGGCAGTGTTGCATGACAATGATTACCCTCTTAAATTATATTCTCTGAATTTGTTTTATTTATTTTTGTAAATTTTAGATTTAAACACTTCAAATCAGCAAATTACCACCACCATAATATATAAATACAACTTGTAAATGCATAATTTGCTAACACTGTCTGTTGGTGCTGCACAAGGCAAAATCTGTATAAACAATGATATATCATATGTGCACTGTACAGCCAAACTGCTTTTCAACATACAAGGCCAAACTTAAAAGTGTCAATGAACTGTGGCTTTAATGGCTCAGACCTCTGCAGCAAGGTCAAATAAAAAGTTTCATGTCATAAATGTCTTACATTACTTTTTACATGAGTAGTTCAGATCTTTTAAAAGGTATTAATATGTGGACATGAGCTCAGGCAAGCAGACGTGTGGTTGCAGAACTCCCAGTGAGCCGGGAGGGCTTCATCCAGAAACAAGCAGCGTTACACAGCCAGCCAACAAATATATACTAATGCTCCAAACACCCTGCCATAACATTACGGTCCAGCTACTAATTCTCTGGCTTACATCAACTGTTCCAAGATACTGTGAAGTCTAAGAGAAGAACCCAGCAGCACAAATCCACTAAAGAGTTTTTTGTTTGTTATGTTGTGGCTTGTAATTTTTAGTTGCTCGTTTTCTGGATGACAAGGTCATGTCTCCCACCACGGCACTGCCTATCTACGCTAATGTCCATACATCAGTATCACAACGGGTCAGCAAGGAATATCTGTGTGCTGTGTGTCAACAAATCAAACAAAGTGTCCACAAACACACACACACACTCTTCACCAGCCAAAAGATGGAGGTTAAATGATAGACATCAAAGTTAAGGAACAGCAGTTAAGAACAAGAGGTAAGCAAGCTACATAAAAAGGAAGCGGGCAAGGAAGTATACTCACGATATCCTGTTTGAGTGTCCCGTGATTGATAATTATGCAAGAAGAGAGGAGAGGAAAAAAATACAGTTTAGGCACCAGTGAGCAGTGAGTCCAAAATCAGAGAAAGAGAGAGAGAGAGAGAGAGAGAGAGAGAGAGAACTGGGAGAGGCATAATGAGACAGAGACAAAAAGAGTGTGTCCATGAATAAAAAGTCAAGTTGCAGCGCCAACATAACTGTTAATAGTCTTTGCTTATTAATGGGCCAAATGAACCACCACTTACTGACTGAGTCTGACTTTGTGCTCTGAACATGATGCAAAAGATACATTTATAAAGAGATAAAAAAGAAATTGATATTGAGGCAGAAACAGATTTCTGGAAGCTGCTGGAGTATCTACAGTTTGATGTGAAGTGGTTGTGACAGTTTAGATATCTTTTACAGCTGCAGGTGATCTTAAGACAGAATCTCAGGTTGCTATCATACTCACACAGATGTTCACTAGCACTTTTATACAGACACACACACAGACTTATATTTTCATTCACACACACCTTCCTTTTTGTTTTTGCTTTAAAAGAAACACTGTTTATTTTATTTTATTATTTTACATGTTTTAGCCTATGAACTATGTACAAACAATCCTGACTTTTCATTTAGCTTACTTTAATTACTTTACTTGATGACCAAATACATGCAAGACTGACATTACCTCAGCTTAAGTTTATTTTTAGTGCTACTGTAATTAACAAATGTGAGCATGATTAACTAAGATTTTGAAAATGGTAACCATTAAACCTGCTAAACAGCCACATGTTAGCATTGTCATCATCCTCACACGGCTGCTAGTATGACTGTAGGCTGTAATGACACATTATTGTTGAAAAATTTAATTTAAAAGATAAACAATCAATTTAGAAGATAAATAATTGACAAAATATTCACTATGATGGATTGTCTTCCTTGAGCAAGCTTTAGGGGTTGTCGAGCTGATTTTTATAGTTCACTGAAATGAAAATCAATAGCAACCTTGGTAGGTAAGGTAAGGTAGGAAAATCAATCTAAAAACCTATAGCATGATTTTGTAGTTAATGACCTAAAACATGCAAAAACACCATTGACCATTAACTCTGGTTGTCAACACACCAGCCTGACTGCATGTACTGTATGTGTGTTTGTGTACACATAAGATTTATATGTGTGCTTGAAGGTGGACACTCACGCCTGCATGGTTGTTGTGGCAGTTTGAAAGCTGAACATGTTTTCCTTGGGGAACCAGTTAGTGTCCTCTGAAATTAAAGAGAAAAATTATGATTCCAGGGTTATGTAAAAAACGTGCCATGTGCCATGTTGGCAAATGTGATAAATATATGAAAGCACGAAACCACTTCACAGTCCACCACTCCACAAATGGAGAGAGGGAGACACACAGAAGGAGACAGCAGAGGAGATAGACGGGGAGACGAAGAGTCAGAAATACAGACCACCACGTCACATCCAACACCAAACCCTCAAAAGCCTACCAGACCTGAGAGGAAATAGATTTGAAAAAGTGTTTTGATGCTATCAAATGTAATACTAGCTCAAACCTAGGTCTTAGCTGTGTGTGTGACTGATTTCATTAGACTGTTTCTTCACAATAAAATAACATTTAACATAAGGTTTCCTGGTTATTTCTTACTAAATGGCCACTAAAGGGTTAAGTGTGATGTGTTACTTGTTTTTCACTGAAGTGGTCCTTAAACTTCCACAAAGCCTACAATTGACCTTTTTCATAGCAACCATTTTGACATTTTGACAGGTAGTAGGGTAAACATAGGTGTAACCACTGATACTGATTAAGGCTCCGTTCTGTTTAGTGTAGCAGAGCCTTTCCAGTGAGCCAACATGCTCAATAGCAGCACTGTATGACCTGAATGAAAGTGCCTTAACGAGTATAATTGGTAACACCTGTGTTTACCCTACTATTTCCTGTCAAATTGGCTGCTGTGAAAATGGTATATTATTCCTATTACTATATAATATAACTAAAATGTCAAACAATAAACTAATAGGGAGGAAATTGAAACTGATTCTTAATTTCTAACAAAAACAATTCATTCAGGCAGTGGCAAAAAACAACAAGAACACCTCCTAATGTGATGCAATCCAATGCAATAACCCCTCAAGAAACACTACTGTACCTTTGTGAAGCTTATAATATTACATTTCTATGTAAGTGGGCTCTTTCAACTCTGTGCTAACTTTTGAACTGAAGTATGAGGTGTTTCCAATACTGTTAAGTCTTTCTTTTTCTCTGTTTCCCCATTCCTTTTCATCAGTGGAGATTTCCTATGTTTTGCGGATTGTTATCAGCTTTTTTTAAAATGGTTGTTCATGCCACATTATATAAATTTGCACTACAGACTCAAAAATGAACAACATAGTTTCAACAAAAATGAAACATTAATAGCTTAACAGGGGAAGTATATTATTAGGCATTCTTATTATTTTAACCACATACTGTAAATATTAAAATGATTGCTCAGGCAAAATCTAGGCATCGAGGCAACTACTATTAACAAGTATGATCTATATATTCATTGACCTCATGTTCATCGTTTTTATTTTCCTTGCAAGTGATTGAAATTAGTCAAATGCTATTTCATCTCTGGTCTAATACCAAACCCTCCAAACCCAGCCTCAGGGTCTTATGAACAAACTTTCATCCTGCCCTCATTGGGAATTCAGCGCCTCTCCCTTCCTCTGTGTCCTCCCCCCTCTCACCTCTCTCCAGCCCAGTCATCCGGTCCACACTCCACATCCGCTCTAGGCGTCGGTGCTGCTTGCCTGCCTCTCGGGATGTGCTCTCCAGGTCCAGGGAGCCCTGGCTCCTCGAGGGGGTGCCGCTGCACGAGTCACAGGCCAGCCCGCTGCACTCCGCATCCCCTTTTCCACCCTCACCCCAGCCGCGGATGTTGTGGGCGCTGACGGAGGTCTGCAGCGGGGGTTGAGACAAGTGATGGTGGTGGCTGTGGTGTGATCCATGGTGGGAGTGGGATCCAGTGACGGCTAAAGACTGCTGCTGGTTGCTACTGCTGCTTCCACTTGCCCCACTGCTTCCTCCACTGCTGGAGGGTGCACTGGTGCCTGAGATGCCGTGGTGGTTCCCGTGGTGATGGTTACCGTGGTGATGGTTGCCGTGATGGTGGCTGGTGCCACGGCCGCTGCTGGCATGGTGGTACTGGGTTGGAGACGATGAGGTGGAGGAAGGGGAAGTGGAGGGCTGGATCAAGCCACCTCTGGATCCCACCCCGCGACTCCCCGACTTCTCCTTCAGGACGTCCAGTTCTAGGCTCTCCTTGCTGCCCCGGCCGCTGCTCATCAGCATACCGCGCTGGGTGGTGATGGTGTACACACGGGCAGGCTGCAGGGTGCACTCTACACACTTCTGCTGGTCTTCCTCAGCTGAGAAGCTGCGCTCGAGGGACAGCCGTGCTGGCTTGGTAGAGATGGTGATGGAAGGGAGAGGTGGCTGGACTAAACCCAGCGGGGCTTTCACCACACCAGACTCCCGGTTGTCCTCACAGCCCTTGGTGGTGTTGGAGCAGGAATACAGGTGGTTGTTGTTGTTGTTGGGGCCAATGGTGTCACTTGGCGACTCCGGGTCGGGACCCACCAAGGTTTCACACAGAAGATGAGCTAGTATGATGACGAAAAAAGACAAATGTGAGTGTTAAGAACGAGGTGCTAAAGAGCAAGGAGAAGATAGAAAGAGCAAAAAGAGGACAGGTTGAGGATGACCTAGAGGATAATATCATCTTGCTTCGGTTATCAGCTGTTGCAGTGATACACTAATGATCGCAGCATGGAATTTCAACAGTGGATGAGGTGAAGCAGGTGAAGGAAGGATTAAAGACTACAAATGACTACGCAGAGCAGGACAGAGGGATGGACAAATGGCAGGGTGGCAGAAACGCTGACCTGATCCGTTTCGGTTTTCAGGGTGCGTGTGGGACAGGTACTCTCCAAATGCTCGTGCTGCTCTGTGGGGACACATACACATATGACACACATAAAGACATTAATTCACGGGTGGAAAGGAGGGGCGAGCGAGGAAGGAGAGGAAATGGCAGGGTAGAGAAGAGAGAAGGGCAAGGGAATTGTAAATTATAAAACTAATTGCCTTCTTTGTAGGCTTGTGCCACCCACAGATTAAGATGCAGCTGTTTTATCTCCACACTTCAGGCAGCCTCAGAGTGAAAGAGAGACAGCCGGAGGAGATAGAGTGAAGGATTGTTTGACTTAATTTCTCAGTATGACTTCAGTTTGCGTTGACGGATGTAATTGCAGCTGGCAGACCATGTGTGTTTGTTTTCTTGTTTCATACACACTCGGAATGTATGTGTGGATGTATAGACTGTATCTTTGTGTCACGAAAAATACTTAACCTTGACAGCAACTGAAGAAGATTGCTCGGAGATGTGCTGAAAATAGATGATGTGAGCTCCATAACCACAGTACTGCATCTGGTGCTTAACGCCTTTTTTCCCCCTCTTGGTTCTTTTTACTCACACAGAAATACACAGAGAAATACGCTACAGACATCCATTCAGCCACATATAACTGAAACTCAATATCATGGAGGGCTTCAGCTTTTAGTAAAATAGCCCCAGGTCTCACAGTTGAATGACAGTGACCTCCTAATGTTCCTCTAGTTGTGTGTGACAGAAGTGGATAATGAGTAAGGAGAGACAGGGCAGAGAGACAGACAACTCTGAAGATGTGCCTTCAATGAAAAACTGGGCACTAACTTAGAACAAATGTTCTGCAGCAATAACTTTTAGGAATTAAGGTAATTAAGAATGAAAGGTGGGGAAAGGAGAAAATGTGTGTAATTCTAAAATTAAATTGCCTAATTACAATTACAAACTCCCTTTAGTGTACTGAATAGGCCTCCCGCAATAGTTAAGACTACCCACCAGCATATGAAGAAGTAAGAGCTAGTGCCTCCAAGACCACTTGCTGCAATAAAAAACACAAGGCATTTATAATGTAACACACTTCAGCATTATTCAGAATGAATGATGATGTTGTTGTGTCTTTGACAGTATTTGCGTCTTCTATACTTTTTAAATTAAATATAGTTAATTTTACTTAAATGCTTATTTCAAGGCTAATTTCTTGTATAATAGTACTCACTGCATGCAAACTGACTTTTAACATTGAGGTTTCAATTAGTTAATCACCAAGGATCTATTGGTACAAGCAGTCTAATGGATCAAATGAGAGTCAGCATACTTGTTAGTTTTTTTTTGAAAATCTGATTTAAAAGCATTATGCATCATTTATTTATTATTTATATTGATATGATCCTGAAAAATAACCTGATGAGTTCACAAAATTGCTTTCCTAATCTAGCAAATGTCGGAGGTGACTGCTAGCACGCACACATGCACATAGAAGGATCCCCTGTATACAGGAGATTCTGTGGGTGTACGCCTCCTTTCTGGTAGCTCTGTCAATTATTAAAGGCTGTCTAACACAGCAGGCACACACACACGCTGCATGTGTGTGTGCCTGCTGTGTTAGA